TCAAAATGGCGGATCTAATATGGCGGACGAAATACAAAAATTGTTCAGATTTGCTTGAATCTTGTTACTCGGGGGTTTCTTGGGGTAGCTGATTACGAATTTGATATCAGATTTTCAAAATTCAAAATGGCGGATCCAATACGACAGATGACTTTTTTAAAAATTGATTGGATTCGCTTGAAATTTGTTACTCTGCGGTTTTTCGCGTCACTTATGACGAATCTGACTTTAGATTCAACAAATTCAAAGTGGCCAAAGTATAATGAAAGACTAATTTTTTTAATTTACTCAGGTTTGCTTGAAATTTGTTAGTGTGGTATTTTTAGGGTGGCTGATTACGAATATGAAGTCACATTCCAAAAATTCAAAATGGCGGAATTATTATACTCTTTTTGCCCTGACTCTACCAGTATCAACTTATCTATATTTCACAATATGTGACAGGAAAATTTAAAAGTGATCTATGGTACGAGAAAATCGATGTTAGTTTTTCAAAATTTAAAATGTCGGAACGAATATGGCAGACGAAATTAAAAAATTAGTCGGATTCACTTGAATTTTGTTAATCTAGGGTTTTCGGGTCCACTGATTGCGAATCCGATGTTCGTTTTTAAAAATTCAAAATGCTTGGTATAAAACAGCTATAAGAATTGGTAAGGATATTTTTTTACACCTCGTCTGCCTTATCGATTTCACCATTTTGAATTTTGAAAAACTAACATCGGATTCGCAACCAGCAACTCCAAAAACCCACGAGTAACGTGTTTCAATCAGGTTTGAGATATTTTGAAAAATTCGTCCGCCATTCTGGATCCGGCATATTGAATTTTTTTAATCTAACGTCAGATTCGTCATTATCGAACCCAAAAACCGCAGTGTAACAAATTTCAAGCGAATCCGATTAATTCTTAAAAAAGTCATCTGTCATATTGGATCCGCCATTTTGAATTTTGAAAATCTGATATCAAATTCGTAATCAGCTACCCCAAAAACCCCCGAGTAACAAGATTCAAGCAAATCTGAACAATTTTTGTATTTCGTCCGCCATATTAGATCCGCCATTTTGAATTTTGAAAAACTGACATCGGATTCGTAACCAGCGACCCCGAAAACCCCCGAGTAACGAGTTTCAAGCGAATCCGATCAATTTTTTAAAAAGTCATCCGCCATATTGGATCCGCCATTTTGAATTTTTGAAATCAGACTTCAAATTCGTAATCAGCGACCACGAAAACCCCTGAGTAACAAATTTCAATCAGATTTAAGCAATTTTAAAAAAGTTTGTCATCTTACGTAATATAAGAAAAATTTTTTGTCCTTCAAGCGCCATTTTAAATTCAAAATCGAAAAAAATAAAATTTAGAAATGAATATTTTTCATATACAACTATCGGGAACACGTTTTTGATACTTTTTGTTCTATTTGAAAAGCGTTAAGACACAGAAAAAAATTCTTTTGAAAAAAATTACATTAAAAAAACTTGACTTTTTTTAGTATTTTTTAAAAAAGAAGGGTTAAATATCATTTTTTGAAAATTTTGACCACACCATTCGAAAGAGCGACCCCAAAAATAGTAGGGTATTGACTTTTAAAAACTTTTATGGCTTTTTTCTACTAATTGTAAGAGATTGAATTTCATGTTGAAAAGTAGCACATCTCGTCGTTAAAGGGTTAATTAACAAATAGATTACTTCGGACCTTCTTCATAAAAAAAATTGGTTTTTTTGCAGACAAGTTTAAATTTATGTCTAATTTAGTAAAAAACTATTTTACAGTTAAGAATTATCATTAATATTAACAATTATATAAACAATAATCAACTTCCTTTTGTATTTGTAAACATTTTCGTCATTTTTTAAACTTTAAATATTTATATCATATGTACATTCTTTCAAAAACTTAAAAAATTTATTAGCTCAAACAATTACATTTGTTATAAACAAACTTTTCATTTTTAAACAAATAAGTAGCTTTTTTCATCAAACAAAATTTTTTCCTATTTAGGGTTCCGTACACCATAGGTGTACTGACGGAACCCTTATGAAATCACTCGTGTGTCCGTCCCAGCCACGCAAAATGGGCTGTCCCCCCCCCTTAACTTTTACAAATCTTAACCTAGTGAGCTGAAATTCGGTAGGGATCTTCAGTTTTAAGTGCAGATTACAGGAAAAATATAGCGAACCCAATTGACGGACATATTTGCGAACTAGGAGGGAAAGAAATTGAATTTTTCAGAAAAAATTACAAAAAATGACCCTGTCCCCCCCCCTTAACTTTTACAAATCTCAACCTGGTGAGCTGAAATTCGGTAAGGATTTTCAGTTTTAAGTGCAGATTACAGGAAAAATATAGCGAACCCAATTGACGGACATATTTGCGAACTAGGAGGGAAAGAAATTCAATTTTTTCGAAAAAATTAAAAAAATTACCCTGTCCCCCCCCTTTAACTTTTACAAATCTTAACTTGATGAGCTGAAATTCGGTAGGGATCATCAGTTTTAAGTGCAGATTACAGGAAAAATATAGCGAACCTGATTGGTGGAGATATTTGGGAACTAGAAGGGAAAGAAATTGAATTTTTTTGAAAAAATTGCAAAAAATGACCCTGTCCCCCCCCCTTAACTTTTACAAATCTCAACCTGGTGAGTTGAAATTCGGTAGGGATCTTCAGTTTTAAGTGTAGATTACAGGAAAAATATAGCGAACCTGATTGGTGGAGATATTTGGGAACTAGAAGGGAAAGAAATTGAATTTTTTTGAAAAAATTGCAAAAAATGACCCTGTCCCCCCCCCTTAACTTTTACAAATCTCAACCTGGTGAGTTGAAATTCGGTAGGGATCTTCAGTTTTAAGTGTAGATAACAGGAAAAATATAGCGAACCCGATTGACGGACATATTTGGGAACTAAAAGGGAAAGAAATTCAATTTTTTCGAAAAAAATGCTAAAAATGACCCTGTCTCCCCCCTTTAACTTTTACAAATTTCAACCTAGTAAGCTGAAATTCGGTAGGGATCTTCAGTTTTAAGAGCAGATTACAGGAAAAATATAGCGAACCCGATTGACGGACATATTTGCGAACTAGAAGGGAAAGAATTTGAATTTTTTTGAAAAAATTGCAAAAAATGACCCTGTCCCCCCCCCTTAACTTTTACAAATCTTAACTTGATGAGCTGAAATTCGGTAGGGATCATCAGTTTTAAGTGCAGATTACAGGAAAAATATAGCGAACCCGATTGACGGACATATTTGCGAACTAGAAGGGAATGAATTTGAATTTTTTTGAAAAAATTGCAAAAAATGACCTTGTCCCCCCCCCTTAACTTTTACAAATCTTAACTTGATGAGCTGAAATTCGGTAGGGATCATCAGTTTTAAGTGCAGATTACAGGAAAAATATAGCGAACCTGATTGGTGGAGATATTTGGGAACTAGAAGGAAAAGAAATTGAATTTTTTTGAAAAAATTACAAAAAATGACCTTGTCCCCCCCCTTAACTTTTACAAATCTTAACTTGATGAGCTGAAATTCGGTAGGGATCATCAGTTTTAAGTGCAGATTACAGGAAAAATATAGCGAACCCGATTGACGGACATATTTGCGAACTAGAAGGGAATGAATTTGAATTTTTTTGAAAAAATTGCAAAAAATGACCTTGTCCCCCCCCCTTAACTTTTACAAATCTTAACTTGATGAGCTGAAATTCGGTAGGGATCATCAGTTTTAAGTGCAGATTACAGGAAAAATATAGCGAACCTGATTGGTGGAGATATTTGGGAACTAGAAGGAAAAGAAATTGAATTTTTTTGAAAAAATTACAAAAAATGACCTTGTCCCCCCCCTTAACTTTTACAAATCTTAACTTGATGAGCTGAAATTCGGTAGGGATCATCAGTTTTAAGTGCAGATTACAGGAAAAATATAGCGAACCTGATTGACGGACATATTTGCGAACTAGGAAGGAAAGAAATTGAATTTTTTTGAAAAAATTGAAAAAATTACCCTGTCCTCCACCTTTAACTTTTACAAATCTTAACTGGATTAGCTGAAATTCGGTAGGGATCTTCAGTTTCAATTGCAGATTACAGGAAAAATATAGCGAACTCGATTGACGGACATATTTGCGAACTAGGAGGGAAAGAAATTTAATTTTTACGAAAAAATTGCAAAAAATGACACTTTTCTCTCCCCCTTTTGAACTTTTAGGAATCTTAATTTGATGAGCTGAAATTCGGTAGGGATCTTCATTTTTAAGTGAAGATTAAGGTAAAAAAAATATAGCGAACACGATTGTTTGAGATATTTGCGAAATTTAAGGGCAAGAATTTGAATTTTTTGAAATAACTACAGTGTCACTAATTTAACTTTTATAAATTTCAATGTGGTGAGTTAAAATTCAGTTTGTATATTTTTTTTAAGTGCAAATTAAAGAAAAAAAAAGATAATGTGATTGGCGAAGATAAAAGTAAAATAAAAATAAAATAAAATAAAATAAAAATAAAATAAAAAAATAATATAAAATAAAATAATAAAAATATTTATTCCAAATTTAAAAAAATATATTAGCATTTTTTAATTATTTTTTTTTATATTTTTAAGAATTGTTGAAATAATTAAAAATAACAAAATTTATTTGAATATGAGCTATAGATAAAAAAAATGAAGATATATAAAAAAAAATACAATCAGTTTTTATTAATCGTTGTCATTTCAAGTGCCAAAAATAAAATTTGAATAAATATTGAATTTTATATTATTTAATATTAATTAATAAATTATATTTAATATAAAAAAAATTTTCAAAAAATAATGGGTAAGTGAGATAATTTAATTATTAAAAAGAATTTTAATTTTTTTATAGTTGTAAATGGTTATAATTTTTTAAAATTATGATTTAATATTTTATTAGTTTCATTTTATTATAATATTATAATATATTAATAATAAAAAATTTAAATTTTTCAGTTTTTGGATTTTTGAAAAGTTTTTTTTATAAAGAAAAGGATCCAGAAAAACGCGAGACAAAGGAGAAATTATGTGAAAATAAAGAAGAAATAGAAGAAAATCGTGATGGAAGACAGGAATTATGTGAAAAGAATAATGAAAAAAAAAAGAATAGAAATGAAGAAGGCAAGAAGAAAAGTGTAATTGACGAAGAAGAAAATTTGGAAAGGAATTTGAGAATGAGGCAAGAGATGAAAGAAAAAGATAGGTATGAATATATTAAATTTAATTTTTGGTGTTTCTTTATGTGAATAAAAAATAATATAATAATAATATAATAATATAATCAAAATTATAAATATTTAGGAAATTTATTTTAATAAAAAATTTTTTTAAGAATTTATTTTTATTATTTTTATTTATATTATTGTTTTATACATATATTTTATACATATATTAATTAATGATAATTAAAAAATAATAATTTAATAATAAAAATTAATTTATTTTTATATTTAATATAATGATTTTTATATGTTAAATGAGATTTAATGAATAATATTTAACCTCTGCGCCGGCGGCAAAAAGAGATCACACATGACTTTCGTTGGCCCCAAGTTTAGCAAGTGCCTGGCTGTTTAAGGGGCCAATGAATATCTTGCGCAAGCTCTTTTGGTAGTTGATAGCTAAATTAAATATAATTAATTTATTATTATTTAATTTCAGAGATATTGAACGTTTGCAATGGGAAATTTGAAGACTAGGTGGAAAGAAGGATGAAAAAAGGAGAATAGAAATGAAGAAGGCAAGAAGAAATGTGAAATTGACGAAGAAGAAAATTCGGAAAGGAATTTGAGAATGAGGCAAGAGATGCAAGAAAAAGATAGGTATAAATATAATAAATTTAATTTTTGGTATTTCTTTATGTATAAATAATGTAATCAAAATTATAAATATTTAGGAAATTTATTTTAATAAAAAATTTTTTTAATAATTTATTTTTATTATTTTTATTTATATTATTATTTTGTACATGTAAAATTATTAATTAATGATAATTAAAAAATAATATTTTAATAATAAAAATTAATTTATTTTTATATTTAATATAATGATTTTTATATGTTTAATGAGATTTAATAATATTTAACCTCTGCGCCGGCGGCCAAAAGAGATCACATGTAATTTTCGTTGGCCACAAGTTCAGCAAGTGTCTGGTTGTTTAAGAGGCTAATGAATAACTTGCGCAAGCTCTTTTTGTAGCCGATAGCTAAATTACATTTAATAATTTATTATTATTTAATTTCAGAGATATTGAACGTTTGGAATGGGAAATTAGAAGATTATGTGAAAAGAAGGATGAAAGGCAAGAGAATACACATAAAGAAGACGAGAAGAAAACAGAAATTAATGAAGGAAAGAATACAGAACGAAATTTCAGAAGGAGACAGAAGATGAAAGAAAATGATAAGTATGTATATGTTAAATTTAATTTTTTGTGTTTCTGGATTTATAAATTCAATGAAAATTATATATTTTTAGAAAATTAATTTTAAAAAAATAATTTTTTTATTATAATATTTTATTTAATACAATTTTAAAATTGTAAAATTATTTATTTGACTAATAATTATTAGAGACAATTTGACAGCATTTTAATTATGAATTAAATATTAAATAAAAATAAATTAAAATTATAAGAAATTTATATTGTTCTATATTTTCATGAAAATATAGATCATACGTGATTTTCGTTGCCTCACGTTCAGTAAATGTCTAAATGTTTTAAAGGCAAATTAATATCTTGTGCAAGGACTTTTGATAGCAGACAGCTAAATTAATATAATTAATTTATATTTTTTATTATTAAATTTCAGAGAAATTTCACGTTTGCAGTGGGAAAATAGAAGATTGATAGAAAAAAACAAAGAACTTTATGAAGAGCAAAAAATAAGATATTCAGGAAGATCGAGAATAAATAATCAAAGATACACAAACTTGCCATATTATACAAAAAAATTTAGACCTCCTGGACAATTCCAATCACGAAATTCATGTCAACAATACATACCAAAAATAAATTACGCACAACAAAGAGCATGCACACAACCACCAACTTGTCATACACACACTCAATATTCGCCAAATTTTCAATATTCACAAAACACAAGATGCACAGAGCATTCACCATATTCTTCATGTTTTCAAAGATTTTAGTTTAAATGTATTATTATTCAATTATATCTCATTTTACGAAAATGAATATTAATTAAATAAAAAATAAATATTTTTAATATTTCAATTCTTTAAATTTTTTTTTGTTAATGTTATTTTATTTATTTTATTTATTTTATTTATTTTATTTATTTTATTTATTTTATTTATTTTATTTATTTTATTTATTTTATTTATTTTATTTATTTTATTTATTTTATTTATTTTATTTACTTTATTTATTTTATTTATTTTAATTATTTTATTTATTTTATTTATTGTTATTAAACGTTAGAAAATCAATAATAAAATTAAAAAATTGTTAAAAAAATATAATTTTATAAATTTATAATTTAAAAATTTTATTTTAATTATTAAACTATTATAATTATATTAAAGAATAATTAAAAATATAGTGATTTATTTTATTTATTTCACAAAGATTAAAAATTACAATTTTAAAATTGTAAAATTATTTATTTGACTAATAATTATTAGAGACAACTTGACAGCATTTTAATTATGAATTAAATATTAAATAAAAATAAATTAAAATTATAAGAAATTTATATTGTTTTTGAATTTTGATATTTTTTAGCATAATAATTTTTTTATTGATTTATATAATAAAAATTTAATATTATTTTATTTTATTTTATTATTTTAAAAAAATTAGAAAATTGTTAAACTTGATTTTGAAAAAATTTTACATAAAGTTATTTATTTATTTTGTTTTCTATTTATTGATTTTATTATTATTCTTGTTTTCCCATTCTAAAAAAGCAGCTAATATATCCTCATCATCAGAGTCAGTCATTTCTGTAAAAGAAAAAAATTATAGTTATATAATATATAAAATTAATTATTGAATATTAATTATAAATTTGTAAACTCATTTTATTAATATTTGCAAATAATTAATTAATTAAAAAATGTATAAAAAATGTATAAAGATTTTCGGATCCCTCACTTTTTCGTAACCGGGTTTATCCAAATTGACTCTAACTATGGATTATTTTAAATTTAAAAATTTTTGTCAAGTAACAATTATTTTCTGTGTAAAATAATTAGAGAAAGAATTAAAAATTTAAAAAATATAATAATAACCCTTTGCCTATGGTGACTTATCCCCACTCTATTGTTTTTAAATGTACTTTATATAGTCCCCACCAGGCGTCCAAACGGATGATAACGATAGCATGATTAGGTAAAGGGATAAGGAAATAATAAAAATTATAAGAAACTCTTACCAACTTCAATTGGAGTTGGTAACAGTTTGGCAGTTTTTTAAAAGTTATTGAAAATTCCATAAAAATATACAGTGTGGAATATTTTCAAAAATTCTGTATGAAAATATAGTAATTTTGATAATATTTTCAATATTGCTCGTTAATTTTTATTTAATAAAATAATTAACTGTTATGTTGAAAAAAATAAAAGTTTGAATAGTATATTTTTTTTGTACAGAAATCAGAAAAATGAATGAAAACGACATTTATAAACATCCAAAATGTGATATTAGAAGCCGCCCAACAACTAATTCTTTAAAACGTAAAATAGAAATGAAAGATGATGATGAAAGAAAAAAGAAACAACGATTTACTATTAAAAATCGTTTGAGAAGGTCAAATGCTATAAATATTACATCTGTGGTTACACCTCTTTCGCAAAATAATTTGATATTGAATAGAAATAAAAATTATGAGAATATTCATTATCCCGGTCGCCCAAAAAACATTTTTAAAAAAAGTAAATTAGAAAGAAAACGGGAGAAAGAAAAAATAAAGAAACAACGAAATAGGATTAAACAAAATAAAGAAAATTCGAATGATACAAAAATTCTATATATAACTACAACTCATTCGAAAAATAATTTAATAACAAATGCAAAAAAAAAATGATAATAAAATTAATTTTCGCGGTCGCCCAAAAAAAATTTTAAAAAAAAGTAAGTTAGAAAGAGAACGTGACAAAGAGAAAGTAAAGAAAGAACGATACAGGATTAAAAAAAGAAAAGAAAACTCGAATGATACAAATATTCTATCCATTACTACAACTCTTTCGAAAACAGATATAATACTAAATACAAAGAATAATAATTATAAAACTTGTTTTCGCGGTCGCCCAAAAAAATTTTTGAAAAAAAATAATTTAGAAAAAAAACGCGAGAATGAGAGAATGAAGAAAGAACGAATTAGAATTAAAAAACGTTTACTTGTGAAAGAAGAAATTGAAAAAGGGAATATCGTTTCTGAAAATATTTTTACAAGCTCAAATATATATAAATCCGCTAAAATTACATCTGTTTCAGAAAATTATTTACCCTTCCAAAAAAAGGAATTGGATAAAAATTATTTTCTGAATCGTTTCAAAACTAATTTATTAGTTGGAACATCTGAATCGGGAAATAATCTTAAAAGAAAATGCGATTATGGAGAAGATGAAAATGAAAGATATAAAAATATAAAACGTTCTTTTAGAAATGAGAAAATTTCTATTTCACCTATTTCTAAAAACAATTCATTAATTAATAAAACAGAATTACTGCTTCCTTATAATACTGAGGGGGTAATGGATGATATAGATAAGCATAAAAAGTCTGATTTTTCATGTGTATTAGATAATGAATTCTATCTGGATGATGAATGTATAAATAAGTTTCACTCTATATTAGAACAAAATTCAAAATTTAAGCCTGTAAATATATTTCAATTAATAGTACCAGATCTTCACAAAGAAATCAAACCTATTTTATCGACACAAGAGCATTTGCAATTAATATATCGTGATAGTGAAAATAACACTCAGAATGAGGATGAAGTTGGACATTGGTGTTGTATTCACTATGTTAATAATAAATTGCGAATTTATGACAGTCTATATAATAATCTCAATGAATTTCAGAATATATATCTTTCTATTCTTTTTCCTGATTGTAGAGAAATTGTATTTCCTTTTGTACAGAGACAAAGTAATGGTATAGATTGTGGGGTTTTTGCAATTGCGTTTGCAACATCTATTGTGCTTGGAAATGTTCCTTCTGAGTTACACTTTTGTGAAAAATCAATGCGTTCACATTTATATACCATTCTTACAAGTGATATTTTATTAGATTTTCCAATTTTAATAGTTAAAAAAATTAATAATAGAGTAAATGAGGATACGGCTAAATCTAAAAATTCTGGCTTTTTATGTGTATTAGATAGTGAATTCTATCTGGATGATGAATGTATAAATAAGTTTCACTCTATATTAGAACAAAATTCAAATTTTAAGCCTGTAAATATATTTCAATTAATAGTACCAGATCTTCAAAAAGAAATCAAACCTATTTTATCTACGCAGGAGCATTTGCAATTGATATATCGTGATAGTGAAAATGCCACTAAGAATGATGATGAAGTTGGACATTGGTGTTGTATTCACTATGTTAATCATAAATTGCGAATTTATGACAGTCTATATAATAATCTTAATGAACTTCAGAATATCTATCTTTCTATTCTTTTTCCACATTGTCCAAAAATTGTATTTCCTTTTGTACAGAGGCAAAGTAATGGTATAGATTGTGGGGTTTTTGCAATTGCGTTTGCAACATCTATTATGCTTGGAAAGGATCCTTGTGAGTTACACTTTTGTGAAAAATCAATGCGTCCACATTTATATAACATTCTTACAAGTAATATATTATCACATTTCCCAATTCAAAAATCTGTAGATCTTACTGATTGTTATCAAAATAATGTTTGTTTGAATGATGAACATCTTGAGCAAAATAAAGTATCAATTTACACACATGAAACAGTTAGAAGTAGCCTTCATAACTCTTCAACAAATATATTCTTAGAAAAAATAAAAGCGACAACTAATATTAGAAAAGATATAATTATACGTAAAATCGATGTTCTTGATGAAAATAATAAAGTATTGAGAATTGGAAATAATTGGAAAGTGAAAGGTAATAATTCGATAAAGAAGCCACTATGTATAAATAATGATTTATCAAATAGTCGAAGACAAGTTGATATTGAAAGGCACCGTATTAGACGCAAAAATATTGAAATAAAAGAAAAAGAACAGATAATTAATACAATATCTCGTCGATGTGCAAGAAAAAATCCTGAAAAACTTAAACATGAGTATGAAATGAGAAGAAATAAAAAACAAATGTCATTGAATAATTGGAATGAAGTTAGTATGCTTTTTTTTGATGGGATAAATAATGGTCAAACAAACGTTTGTCATTGCTGTGGTCGTTTATGGCGAAAGAGTTCTTTGAAGGAATTAAATAAAACAAATCTTTTAAATAAAATTGGAATTTCAAAAGAAAATATCAATAATATTTTTTATTTAACAAATTTAGATAATGGGGATTTCTGTTATACTTGTTATAACACGATATGTGTAGGTGATATTCCGCGATTGGCATTATGCAATGGATTGATGTTTCCCAATATCCCTGAAGTATTGAGTGTATTAACTCCGTTGGAAGAAAGATTAGTTTCTCCACGTCATATATTTTTAAAAATAGTGCGTAAGGGTCAAGGTATTGGATTTCAGCACGGTTTAACGGGTACAGTTATAAATGTCCCAGTTGATGTTGATACAATGGTTAATGCACTGCCAAGAAATGTTAGCGATCATAATGTTATAACAATAGAACTGAAAAGAAAAATGTGTTACAAACATGGTCGTAAAGAAGTAATTTGTCCAGAAAAGGTGAGAGCAGCTGCTAAATATTTAACTAATACAGAACTTTTTCGAGAACTTGAAATAATTTTTGATGATAGTTGGCAATGTGAAGAAAATAATGAAGAAAGTTCCATATTAACACAAGTTGAATGTACTTGTAAAGAAAATATTGAATTTGAAGAAATGCCAATTAATCCATCAAATGTGGAAACACTTCTTGATAAGGAACAGGATGTAGTTATTACTATGGCTCCTGGTGAAGGAAAAAGACCAATTTATCTTCTTAATGATCAAAATTTAGAAGAACTTGCTTTCATTAAAATTCATAGAGGTAATAAACGAAACTTTTCTGTAAAACTAAGTCATTCAGAAATCATAAAGTCAGAAATATCAAGATTTGACCGTCGTGCAATGCGTATCGATTATCTTTTTACAGCTTTAAAAAAACAACAAATGTCACAAATTACAAGTAATATTAGCACCTGTTTAAGAAAAAAATCTTTAAAAGGTGTGCCAATTTTTGCAAGCAATTTATTGGACGATAACTATATAGAAAGTTTAATTCAACATGATGATGGTTATAAAGTTCTTAAAGGTATTAGGAATTCTCCAGCTCATTGGGAGGGTGAAAAAAAGAAAGTTTTAGGAATGGTTAGGCAATTTGGTGTTCCATCTTTATTTGTAACTTTGTCAGCAGCAGAAACTAAATGGCCTCATTTAATAAAGCAATTAATGAAAATTGTAGATGGTATAGATGTAACATTAAATGAAGCGGACGATTTGTCATATGAAACGAAAGTTCGTCTTATACAATCTGATCCTTTTACTTGTGTAACATTTTTTGAATGTCGTTTAAAAGAATTAAGAAAAACATGGAATAGTCCTGTAGGTCCTTTCGGAGAGTACAAAATTGAACATTTTTATTATAGAATAGAATTTCAACATAGAGGTTCTCCACACGCACATATAATGTTGTGGTTAAAAGATGCTCCAATATTTAAACCTGGTGATGCAACTTCTGTAAATGCGGTGACTCTATTTGTTGATAAAATAATCTCATGCAGTAGTGATGAAATTATAACTACACTTTCTAATTTACAACAGCACGTGCATACACATACTTGTCGTAAAAATTTTAATAGGAAATGTAGATTTGGAATTCCGTTCTTTCCAATGGATAAAACACGGTTACTGTTAGAACTTGATGATGATAATGATATAATCAAATATAAAAGATTAGGGAAAACTCTTATAAAACAACTTGAGGATATTCCTCCTAGCATATGTACTTTTGAGGAATATCTGGCTTATACACAATTACAATTAAACGATTATATTCTAGCAGTACGTGCTACATTAAAACGTCCTAAAATTATACTTAAACGTTCTCCAATTGATATATATTTAAATCCATATTCAAAAAAAATTTTAGAGTTACAGCAATCAAACATGGACATACAGTTTATTTTAGATCCTTTCGCGTGTTCAATATATATTGTGGACTATATTAATAAAGCAGATAGAGGAATGTCGAAATTATTACGGTCTGCTGTTGATGAGGCTAAACAAGGCAATAAAGGAGTGAAGGAAGTATTAAGAGTTGTTTCTAATGCTTTTTTAAATTCGTCAGAAATTTCTGCCCAAGAGGCTGTATATTGTTTGGCCGGCTTACCGTTGTCACGAAGCAGTGAAACAGAAATATTTATTAATACTTCTCACCCTTCACAACGTGTACATATATTAAAAGGACGTAAATATTTAGAAAAATTGGATTCTTTTTCTACTGATATATTCGAAAAAAATTTAATAGATCATTACGCAAACCGACCAGTGGACGATAGATTTGATGTTATGTGTTTAGCTTATTTTGCTGCTTATTATATGTACGCGAAAACAATTAAGGATAAAAAAAATAATATAAAAAATGAAAATAATGAAAACTATGATGAAGCTAATATAGACAATATTGAAGAGAATGTACATAAAAGTTCTTGGATTAAACTTTTAAATAATGATGGATATGTACGTTACCGAAAAAATCCAAGAGTTATACGATTTCGACGATACAATAAAGAAACTGATCCAGAAAACTTTTATAGAGAACAATTGATGTTATACGTTCCATGGCGTAATGAAGAACTGGAGCTATTAAATAATGAAATTAATATTAAAGATCGCTATTACAGTTTTAAAGATGTTATAAGTAAAGAAAGCAGACAATTTAACAAGCTTGGAGATGCTGAGGAATTTGAAATATTTTTAAATTCGGTCAGAGATGCTACAGCCAAACAATCAGCTGAAGAAGAAGATGAAGAAAATATTAATAGTAACAATCGACCATTAGACGGATTTGAATACGAAAACGAAGATGGCGATGTTGATCACGAATTACAATTTTCTGACGTTTTGCTTGAATCTAGTGAAACCGATGCAAACATTGTTACGGCTCAGCCACCAGTAATTAATCAAGAAAATGTTAACAGTTTGATAAGAATTCTTAATTCTGATCAAAGAGATTTCATTTTACATGTTGCTAATTATTTTCAAAATAAAACAGTAAACTCTCCACCATTATATTTATTTGTAAACGGTGGCGCTGGTGTAGGTAAAAGTTTGCTAATAAAAACACTTTTTCAACATCTCATGGTATATTATTTCAATCGAATACCTGGTTCAGATCCTGATGAACTTAAAATAATTTTATCAGCATATACAGGAAAGGCTGCTTTTGGAATTGGAGGACAAACAGTACATAGTATATTTGGTCTTCCTATATCTCAATGTGGATATACTATGCCAGAATTATCACCTTCTACGTCCAATACTCTTGCTTGTAAATTAAAATCTGTAAATCTTATTATTTTAGATGAAATATCTATGTTGGGAAGCAAAACATTATATCAAATTAATCGGAGATTACAACAAATATTTCATACTAATGAACCATTTGCTGGGATATCAATAATTGCAGTAGGGGATTTTCAACAATTACCACCAGTTGGTGATAATTGGGTTTTTCAACCCAATACCAGAGCAAATCCAATGGCGGTAATAGCTGGTAATCCACTTTGGGAGCAATTTAAGTTATTTCATATGACACAAATAATGCGCCAGAAAGATGATTTAAGTTTTGCTACAGCTTTAAACAATATGGCTTCAGGAACGATGTCTTCTACTGATATTAACCTTATACAGAATAGATGTTTTACTATTAATTTGCTTCCCCCTGAGGCAGAAGGTGCTATTCATTTATTCGCAAGTAATAAAGAAGTAGACGATTTTAATAATAAAATTTTATCTAAAATGAATACAGATGGAGCAAAAATTAATGCCATAGATATAGTTTCAGGGGCACCTAACTTTCAAGCAAAACGCAAGGCTTTGAAGTCAGTAAAAGATCTATCTAGAATGCAAACTTATGGGTTGCCAAAGTCTCTTAGTATTAAAATTGGAGCAAGATTTATGATAACTGTAAATATTGATACTTCAGATGGGGTAGTTAACGGTACTAGTGGTATATTAAAAGCTATAGATTTTGGTAAACATAAAATCACAGGTGAGAGACGTCCACTAAGATTATGGATGGATTTCGGTGATGAAAATATAGGAAAATGTACTAGAAACAAATTTGAATATTCAAATCAAGGTCATAAAAATAATTTTATAAAAATGAAATGGACGCCAATTGAATCAGCTACGTACACTATAAAAAGATGGAAATCATCTAATTTGATTGTACAAAGAACTCAATTTCCTATGGTTGCTGCAGAAGGAATAACTATTCATAAAAGTCAAGGTGCTACCATGGATAAAGTTGTAGTTCATGTTAATCAAAATGTTCGTAGATCTATGCTGTACGTAGCATGTTCAAGAGCGAGAACAGCTTCAGGATTATTTATTGTTATAAAAAATGGTAAATTTCAAGCACCTTCTCCACCTCAAAATGACAATCCAGTTATTGTGGAAATGAATAGACTTGAATCTAGTAGTCCTCTAGTACCATGTTACAGATTCTTGAGAAATGTTCCTAACGACATAATTCAAATAATATTTCATAATGTGCAGTCTTTGTGCAAGCACGTCGATGATATAGATTCAGATCCAATTATAAAAGCTTCTCATGTTCTTTTCTTTGTAGAAACTTGGAGCTGTGAATTACATAATTTTCATTTAAATGGATTTTCAGAAATGATCAGAATTAACGGACCATCTGAAAAAAATTCAAATCCTGGATGGGGTTCGATAGTATTTTTAAAAGAAATTTTAAAAAGTGTAATTAAAATAGAAAATTTTAAACGGTACTGTAAATTTGAAAATAAAAATGGACATTGTGAATGTACGGAAATGATGTTATACGGAATTCGATTACTCTCAATATATAAATCTCCTAAGTGTTCATTAGATACAGCAATCGAATGTATTGATAATGCACTTTTTGGAAATATAAAAACAAAGAGATTAGTAGCCCCAACTATTATAATGGGTGATTTTAATATTTATTTTAATAAATCTCGTGAAAATAAATTAGTAAAGTATTTTCAAAATTATGGATTGAAAAAGAGAATCAATAATGTGTCAACAACAAGGCAGTTTACTGAAATAGATAATGTATTCTCTAACGTAGAATTCATTGATGTGGGTACAATAGATACATTTTTTAGTCATCACAAGCAATTATATATTCGAATAATGCAAACCAAATAAATGTTTATTTCGTGCCGTGCTCACACAACAAAAAATATATATTTAAAAAAATTTTTGTATCATTTTCGATATTCATGACTGTAATACATCTACAAATTAAAAAAAAATGTAAAAATATAGAATAGTAAATTTACCCACATTATCGATAAAATACAAACACATACGATAAAAAATTGGACAAATTGTGCTTTTTACTCAGGCAACATTTGTTTGTCTTTTAAATCATTATTCTAAGGAAACTGTACTTGAGCCATCAACAGTTTTTGTTAACCGTTGGTTGGTTTAACTGTTATCCATGGATGATAATCAAATTTATGAGTATACATTTAGATAACAATATTTAGAGAGTCATGGTTGAGCTAATGATAAGTTCGACCGTGGTCAAGGGTACATTACAAAAAATTAATAATTGTATTATATATTTTAATATGCAATTGCGGTTGAGCCATCGGAAGGTTCGACTGTGATTAGTAGATGATAAACAAATTTATGAGTATACATTTAGATAACAATATTTAGAGAGTCATGGTTGAGCTAACGATAAGTTCGACCGTGGTCAAGGGTACATTACAAACAATTAATAATTGTATTATATATTTTAATATGCAATTGCGGTTGAGCCATCGGAAGGTTCGACTGTGATTAGTAGATGATAAACAAATTTATGAGTATACATTTAGATAACAATATTTAGAGAGTCATGGTTGAGCTAACGATAAGTTCGACCGTGGTCAAGGGTACATTACAAAAAATTAATAATTGTATTATATATTTTAATATGCAATTGCGGTTGAGCCATCGGAAGGTTCGACTGTGATTAGTAGATGATAAACAAATTTATGAGTATACATTTAGATAACAATATTTAGAGAGTCATGGTTGAGCTAACGATAAGTTCGACCGTGGTCAAGGGTACATTACAAAAAATTAATAATTGTATTATATATTTTAATATGCAATTGCGGTTGAGCCATCGGAAGGTTCGACTGTGATTAGTAGATGATAAACAAATTTATGAGTATACATTTAGATAACAATATTTAGAGAGTCATGGTTGAGCTAACGATAAGTTCGACCGTGGTCAAGGGTACATTACAAAAAATTAATAATTGTATTATATATTTTAATATGCAATTGCGGTTAAGCCATCGGAAGGTTCGACTTTGATTAGTGGATGATAAACAAATTTATGAGTATATATTTAGACAACAATATTTAGAGAGCTGTGGTTGAGCTAATGATAAGTTCGATCGTAATCAAGGCTACAATAAAAATTAATAATTGTAATAAATATTTTAATTTAATGAAATTGCTATTTAGTCATGAGAATGTTATACCTTAAATATTTTTTTATGTGGTCATGGTTAATTGTTTTTGGAGCAAGTACAGTTGATATATAAATTTATATATTTTTTGAGATGCATGATTGGTTACCTCCACGTGGTGCATCTTGGAAACAATATCATTGAAGAAAGTAATGATTTTTAAAAATAAAATATTAAAAAATTTTTAAATTAAAATAAATTTCAATGAAATTGGCAAAATACCAATAAATAAAAAATTTATTATAATTAATAATATAAGTAGCTTTTGTTAGTTTATATCCAATATATTATTTTAAATATTATCTCTAATCAGGTAAAATATATATTTTTTGTTATTTGTAAATAAAACATAAGAATCCAATGTGGATTATAGTTATAGTTGTTTTTAATCTATATGTAATAAAAATACATATGTGTACAGAATTTCAGCTCAATATGTTTACATATGTTAATATTAATGTGGATTATAGTTATAGTTTTTTTTAATCTATATGTAATAAAAATACATATGTGTACCGAATTTCAGCTCAATAGGTTTATATATGTTAATATTAATCAATTATATTTCTTATATATATTTTTTTTTATAAAAAATGAGTTTTATTTTGGTGTACGGAACCCTCGATCTTAATGCGAGTGCAACTCGCACTTGCCCGATTTTTTTTATATTTACTATCATAAAAAAGAACTCCTTAATGAAATGGGAATACTATAAATTATTCATTTAATTTTAATAAATATTATAAGTTAACAAATATTTAACTTTGTTCTTTTTTCACAGAAAAAATTTATTTATTTATATGCATTTAAATGCAAACTGTTTTAACTGAATAATGGTTTACTTTATTAAAAATATAAATATTTCTTAACTTATAATGTTCGTTAGAATTAAATGAATAATTTATAGTATTCCCATTTCATTAAGGAGTTCTTTTTTATGATAGTAAATATAAAAAAAGGAAAAAATTTTGTTTGATGAAAAAAGCTACTTATTTGTTTAAAAATGAAAAGTTTGTTTATAACAAATGTAATTGTTTGAGCTAATAAATTTTTTAAGTTTTTGAAAGAATGTACATATGATATAAATATTTAAAGTTTAAAAAATGACGAAAATGTTTACAAATACAAAAGGAAGTTGATTATTGTTTATATAATTGTTAATATTAATGATAATTTTTAACTGTAAAATAGTTTTTTACTAAATTAGATATAAATTTAAACTTGTCTGCAAAAAAACCAATTTTTTTTATGAAGAAGGTCCGAAGTAATCTATTTGTTAATTAACATTGTTTGCAACAATTTAAATAAATTGTATTATGCTTTATCAATTGTCCGGTGGTCATACTAGATTAATTTAAATTGATTTCGATCATGTGTAATGGAAAAATAAAAAAACTAACATGATTTTTTCTAAAAATATTGTAATTTGTCAAATTTTTGAGTAACAAGAAAAAAATAAACAATTAAAAATTCAAAAATCGACTTTGATGGATCTCTCAGTAGTTTTAAATCAAGAACATCAACATCCGATAAAATTTGTAGTTTCTAGACAATTTTCAATAGTAAGTTGAAAAAAAATCCCACTGTTCATCGCGCTGGAGTGCGCGAGCGGACGGACAAATTTTACTTATTACACTATATCTTTGGCAAATTGTTTCGGCCCATTTTCAGACTTATATCTTCTTTTAGGGGAATTCCCAAGCTTTCATTTGAGATTATTAAAAAGAAAATAAAAACTACCGAACTTGCACAAAATTGCAAAAAACTATTTATTTTAAAAAATTTTTGCAAAAAAAAATTTTTTTTTTATTATAAAAATAAAATATTTTAAAAGTACACAAAAAAACCTTTCTAAAACACTACTTACTTTTTTTAATTGAATAATTTAAGTAGAAACTACAAATGTTTAAAGAATGCATGTTCGAGTTGAAGCTGAAATTTCAACCCCCCACCCTTTTGATTGGGGTGGGGGGTTGGACCTGTAAATTGGTGTAGTAACTTGTACCTACTAGGCTAACATATTTCCAAAGTATAAAGGAAATCCAAGAACTTTTTTTTATTTTTGGGGCAGTTCAGGAATAATGCCTCAAATATCAATCCGCGTTTTACGAAACATATCAAACTGATAGCTCTATATGAGAAGTTGGACATGGCCGACCATAACAGGTTGCTCCGTTTGCGTGGTACAGTAGGAATGAACGTGAGGAACAAAAATATTAAATGTCAATTACTCTTATTGTTTACTATTATATTTATTATTTGTTTATTTATTTATTATTGTTATTATATCTATTATTATTTATTATTATACTTACTTTTTAAAAATATTATTATGGAAAATTATTAAAACAATAAAGGGAAATTTTTTATGAAAAAATTATTAAACAAATAAAATTACTAAACAAAAAAAGTAAATAATAAAAAATTATGAAATGTATAATTTTTTAAATTATATTAGTTATACAAATTTTTTTAAACAAAATTATTTCAAATACCAAGATTAACTTTTTTTATAGACAATTTGAAAATTAATACACTGGGAATAATATTGACACATTCAGAAAAAATAAATTTTAATGGATAATTTTTTTTTATTATTTATCAACTATAGTTTATTTCTAAAAAAAATTATACATTTCATAATTTTTTATTATTTACTCTTTTTTGTTTAGAAATTTTATTTGTTTAATAATTTTTTCATAAAAAATTTTCCTTTTATTGTTTTAATAATTTTCCATAATAATATTTTTAAAAAGTAAGTATAATAATAAATAATAATAGATATAATAACAATAATAAATAAATAAAAAATAATAAATATAATAGTAAACAATAACAGGGTTCCTACAGAATCTGGAAATCATGGAAATGGTATGGAATTTTTAAAAGGCTTCTGGAAATCAGGGAAATAATGGAAAAGGCCTGGAACTTTTAAAAGTTTCTAAATTTTTTCTATTTTCCATTTTTTCTCTTGAATAGAAATTCAAATAATAACAAAGCTAAATGGCATAAAAGAGAAGAAAAAATATTGAATTTTAAAAAATTCGATTTTTCGGATTTTTGATAATTTTCTATAATTTTAGATTTTTTACCAAAGAGTCGAGACTATTAAATAAGTAAAGTATTTTCCAAGAGCCCAAAAATAATGAAGCTAAATCCCATAAAAGAGAGGAAAAAATGTTGAATTTTAAGAAATTCGGATTTTTGA